CTCGTGTCTAAGGCCACGTGTCCGTCATCACCAAAGTTGCCTCAGCTCGGGAACTTGGGTACGAGAGGAGAAGGTCATGCAATGAGCACCCTCGCTCGCCCGATCAAAGATCGGCCTTTACTAACATGATATGTTGTTTTTGAAAACACATGTGTTCTTATTCCGGTTTATTAGCTAGCTTACTATGTGATGCGCACAACATACAAATATAGACTAAATCGCCTAAATTGGAACAAAACAATTCAATGTTTGTTTGTTTGAAAATGGTTTAGAGTTGCTATTCGCAAGTAGGCTAAGTCGCGGATTTTTCCACCCTCGAGTGGGCTTAGGAAAACAGTATGATTTTGCCACCTCAAGTGGGCTTAAAACTCGCATTTCGATGAATTGTTCCAATTCAAGCAATCCAACCTTCATCCACAGGCATTCAAGCAGTTATAGCAATTAAGCAAATAGCCTCATAGCAAGCATGCTAAACATGGCAACACTTACACACATGCAATGATACTAAGGCGTAAACACTCACAGTGTACTCCGAGCCAAAACAGAAGCTAGTTAGTAATCATGCATGATCCTAACTCATGTTAAGAATGCCTAATGTAACACATGCAAAATGCAACTAAGATAAGCTCGGCTATTCTAAGATGGCATATGAAATGCAACTTGATAACATGTATTCAAATTGAAATTGAAATACAATGCAGTTAGTATGATGCGTCAAGCCCGATGCATGCAAAACAGATGAATGATGCACGCATGCGAAGCATAAGTATGCTAATTGAAATATGCCCTAAAACTAACCACTGAAAGCAGATAAGTAAAAGGGAGAAAGAAATGGGAGTTTGAAGACATGCATCACACATACGCACGCTTATTACAACATTTGTGCCCTCTCGACGGAGGGTCCGAATAATAAGCTAACTAGCTAATCTAAGCTAATTAAACTAATTATTACAAAACAAAACTAATCAACTAATCCTAGTTAACTAATTATTACAAAACAAAGCTAATTAACTAACAAGTTAACTAACTAGTTATTACAACACAAATCAATTAGCTAAACGCATTAACTAATTAAGTACAAAATCAAATAGCTAACCTAGCTAAGCAAAGCAATAAAACAGGAGCCTCTAGGCGAGAAATACATGCATGCCTGGTCGCCTCGTTCGGAAATCCATCGCGTTGCCCCAATTTGCCTCTGTTTTCAATTGTTCTCAGAACACTGTACAAAGCTCCAGATAGCTTTTGCTCCACCATGGGAACCTCCGGGAGGGTGACTGACTAGTTGTTGATGTTGTAGACCACCTGCCGACCACTTGCCTTTGCTGTAGACCAGAAAAAGTGGTCGGCCAGCCACTTTTACTGGTCTGCCGACCAGTTATTGCTGCACTTCTTCAGTTTTCTACAATAGAGAACAAGAAGGGGCATGTCAATGTATTTGCAAGATATGTGTGCACAACCACCCTCCATATCATTTCATGATCTCAAGGGAGTGTGGTTCCCAACTCTCGGGCCACCAACCGAGCATCACAACGCACGATGGCCGAGATGCCGAGATTGCACAATTCAATGTGAATGAATGCACAAATAACACATAAAGCCTTAACCTCTATCATGCATCATCAAGAGGGTCGGCGACCAAGAATTGAGGCACGTTTCATCACTTCAAGTATGAAACGCCCCTCGTTTCTCGTGTTTAGACTAACACCCTATCCAAACACAATGCAATGCATGCACATGGAAATACAATGCAATACAACATGAGCATGGCAAGTATAATGTAAACAACATGAGTATGCAACCACATAATGCAATGCAACAAGCATGCAACAACATAATGCAATGCAACAAGCATACAACATGCTATTCTACCAATGCTAGGATGGCATGCACAAAATTCCTAACACAGTGCAAGGCATGGATACACTATGCAATGCATGCACATGCAAACAACATGGAATATAACAACATGCGAACAACATGCAAACAAACATGCTCAATGGACTTAAACCGAATATGGACAGACCTCAATCATGCCCAAAACAGTGGCCATAATGCATCAAAACTAAGGCACAAAAGGACCAAGAACACATGCTCATGTGAGGGCCCATCAACTAAGCATAACAACACAACTCTTAAACATGATCAAGGAGTGACAAACATGGAAGTGTGACCACACTAAATACACTAAAAGCATGTATGAAATGGTGCCAAACCACTCAAACAACACAAGTATAGCATGTTAGAAGGCCTAAGGCACAAGGCTACTCACAGAGACTACACAAGAGGCATGCAATACATGTCATGAATGACTGACCCAATCATGGACAGAGCTCAAATAGGTCAAAACAAAGACCAAATCATGCCGAGATGAGAGTTCAAAAGCCTAGGCATGCATGCATACAAGCTAGGCCACAAACAAGGCAATAATGCACAACCCTTAGAGGCACTCAAAGGGTGAAAGAAATGAGACCATGGCAATACTAAATGCTCTAAAATAACATGTGAAATGATGCCAAATCATGTACATGTTACAAATGAAGCATGCTATGGTGCTCAAAGCTTGAAACTAGCATAGGCATTTGCACTACAACTATGCAACACATGAAGCATATAGCCAAGGCAACCCAAAACAGTCCTAGAGCATGTCAAAATTAAGGCTAAAACATGCACGGAGCATAACCAAAGCAAGCTAGCATGAATTCATAAATCATGACAAATGCGAAGCCAATAAGGAGGATTACACTACACCTACCAAGACCAAGCATGGGATGGCTTCACCAACAAAATCAGAGTTAAGGCAAAATAACACCGAAAACACACTGAAATGATAGCTTGCAAGCTTAGGCATGATGGCATACACAATGGCTCATGTTTAAGGCATAAAGAACCAACCTTCCAAAGCATAGAAAGAGTGAAACATGCACTGAAATCTCATAACAAATGATTCCAAATCATGTAAATAGTCCAAGCAATGCATGCTAGTGGCTTGGAAACTCAAAGCTAGTGGGCTAGATTGAACCATGGCTATACAAAGCAATGCATGCATGACCCAAAACACTTAAAATAGAGCTAGAGCATGCTAAAATATTAACAAAAGCTTCTTGAAGTTGAGCCAAAAGCATGCTAGCATGAAGGTCAAAAGCATGATGCATGTTAGGCTAGTTAGTGGAATTGCACTATAAGTGCATGGAGCATGCATGGGGCTATCAAACCAACCCAAAACAGGTCTAAGGCATGTTAAAATAACACTAAAAACATGCTGAGATATGGCAAAAATGTGCTAGCAAGACATGCTAAGACATGAGGCATACAAGGCTAGTTTGCAAGAATTACACTACAAGTGTACAAAGCATGCAAGGGATGACCAAACCAAGCCAAAACAGTGGTATGCCATGTCAAAATAACCCCCAAAACAAGTTGAGAATAATCCAACACAAGCTTAACAAACATGCTCAAACATGAGGCCAATAAAGCAAGCAACCAAGATACAAGGAGAGGGGATGCCCCTCTCCTATTTAAGACCTCAAAACACAAGTTTTGCCACTGAAAATCCACTGGATTTCAGTGGTTAAAAGGCAAAGAGAAAGTGATCTCAAGGGCCTAAAGTGATGGTGTAAAACAAAGCCAAACAAGGCATGCAAGGGAGTAGATCACCCCAACACCAAACAAGCCTTAAATAAACATGTTAAGCAGTAAAAATCAGAACTTTTTATAGTAGAAAGTTAGGCCTAAAGCAACATGCAAATAGGGCCAAAAGCTTAATAAAAAACAAGGGTTTAAGTGGTTAGAAGCTCACCCTTGTAGAACAACTTTAGAGCAACAACTCCAGCAGCTTTTTCTTGATCAAAACCAATCCAAAAACACCAAAACCAACTTCAAAGTGCCTCAGCTCGAAGAGTATGGTGTTTCACTATGTGTTTGTGTGAAAAAGTGCGAAGAAATTACACTTTTGAGCACAAATATGAGACAAAGCAAGAAATATAGAGATAGATGTGTATCTATATCTTCTAAGCAAATTTCAGAACCTGGAGAAGGGAGAGAGGGTCTCCCTTTTATAGAAAAAACAAGCAACAAGCTTGTTGAGAAAGCTAAGAGCTCCAAGCCATCCCTCCATAGTGTATGGAGGATGAGTTCTATGCTCACTAGTTGGCACAACTGGCAAGAAAAGATCTTCAAAAAGGTGCAGGAAAGTAGCCGACCACTTCAAGTGGTTGGCCAGCTACATATACTGGTCGGCCAACGAGTGAAACTGGTCTCCCAGAAAGAAAAGTGGTCGGTTAGCGCGGGGGAGTGGTCTACACACAAAAAGCAAGGTGGTGGCATGGTGGCAGACCACTTTTGGTGGTCCAAAGACCACCAAGACCAGTTGGCCGACTAGAAAACTGGCTGGCGGGGAAGAAAAGTGGTTTTCAAGGAGAGAAACTGGTCTCCCACCCTCATTTCACCCTCCAAGCAAGGAAAACAAGGTTTGTGCCAAAAACAAACCAAAAAGGATGAAAGACGAAAGTCCGGGGGTCGAGGCGCGCAGCCGGAAGCGTCGAAAACTAGTCTACGGGCACCAAAAGTAATCTACGAGGGAAAAGTGGTCTACGACCACAAAAAGTGGTCTCCCAGACCTCAGTGTCCCTCTAGGCAAAGGCAACAAGGCATGGTTCGAAAACCAAGCCAAGAGGAGAACGTTAAGCGGTCCCGAGACAAGGCGCACGACCGAAGGCTTCGGAAATCGGAAACTAGCCTACGAGAGGGAAAAGTGGTCTACGACCACAAATAGTGGTCAACGACTACAAAAAGGTGGTCTACAGACCTCTCCCTCCCTCCAGGCAAGGGAAAACAAGGCTTGGTCCACAAATCGAGCCAAAACACAAAGAGTTCAGAGGCCCGGGGGCAAGGCACTTAGTCAAAAACTCCGAAAACCCGAAACGAGCACAAACATGCACAATCATCGAGCGCTCAAACGATGACGTCTGAGTCTTAAGGTCGGTCAAAAATGGGGTGTCTACAGGTGCGTATAGGACCGCTAAGAGAGTTAACTCCCTGCTGGCTGTCAAAGGTGAAGTACGAAGGTGCTTTGAATCGGGCCATGACGGTGGTCTTCCGTTTTAGCTCTTTATTCTCCGCATTCAGTGCGCAAATCTCTACTCGCACATCTTTGTACATGCGCTGGTGTAGAGAAATTTGGGCATTTAACTGATGTACCTCACTGGTCCTATTCTGCAGCCGGTGAGACAATTTGGTAACTGCAGTCACTGTCTCTATACAGGATCTTAGTGTGAAGTGGTTAGCTTCAATGTCAGATTGAGCGGCCATGATTTGCTCAATTGACATCATGGGAAAGTTAAGAAGAGTAGGAGTAGGGGCACTCTGTTCAGGAAGGTTAAGAAGAGTAGGAGTAGGGGCACTCTGTCCAGGAAGGTAAGGAAGAGTAAGAGTAGGGGCACTCGGTCCAAGAGAGCTTGGATCATTGAGGTCCGAAAAGAGAGTGAGGGGACGAGATGAGGCCATGTGTGGTGAGAGGTATAAAAAGAAAGAAAGGAGAGTCAGAGAAATAGCAGAGAATAGATTGAGTTTTGGAGCAGCTTTTTTCCTTCGCTCAGTCTTGATGTTCTGTCTCTCTCAAGGGGAATCAGGAAGAAGAAGGAGAATAGAGTGATTAAGTAGACGAAAGAAAGTGATGAAGAAGAAAAAGACGGAAGAGAAGAAGATAAAGAGGGAGAGAAAGCCAAGGCGAGCTTACAAATCAAGGAGTTTTGCTTTTGTCGGCCAGTTGACACAAAAGCAAGGCCGCGTGAGTTTATAAATCGAGGAGGTCTACTTTTGTTGGCCAGTTGACGTAAAAACAAGGCCGTGTGTCAAACGCAGTTTTCGAAGGAAGAGAGAAAAGTGGGAAAGTCATATACATATATGTATATATATTGTATATTTATGTATCATATACATTTATTCGACTATTTTTGTCATAAGAGTGACTTGGTTAAGTGGTCTGGTTCGGCGTCTAAGGATGGAGAGGCTGAGCCCGGGGTCGGGGGTTCGAAATCTCGTATCCCTGCATTCGTGTTTTATTTCCTTTTTGCATGTTTTGCTTACACGTGATGACGTCATTTAACGGAATATTCCGTCGTAGTAACGGCATATGCTCGCTGATGTCCATAGACAGAATATTCCTTGTCAGTAACGGCATATTCCCTAAATGTGTCTGTGTATATATACGTATCTGTGCATTTTCTCCATATTTGTCCGTATGTGTCTGTGTATCTTTTGTTCGTATTTGTCCCTTGGTGAAAATGTTATGGAGACACCACAGGGTTGAGGAGGCGACTTAGGAATGTGAGGCTGAAGTCCATGAGAAGTATCCGGACCTTTTTATTGATGTTTGAGAGTTGTAATAGAAATGTTATTTTGATATTAGGATGTACATTGTATATGTTATGGAGTAGGGTGAATTTCTTATGTTTAATTGGGAGGCTGTGTTATCATACCATGATTGCATTTCTACGGTTGTAATTGATTTTGGTTTAACAAGGTTATCTAGTTTAAATTTCGGGAACGAAATTCCTTAAGGGGGGAAGGTTGTAACGAGCTGAATCAAATTGAATTTAAACTTTAATCTCAGTTGGGGATTTATATTAAATTATTAAACACCATTCATTTTGGACTCAATTGATTAAATTGTGAGCCGTTAGTAACCATGTAATAGTGTTGTGGTTTTATTATTATTATTTGATTACTATAAAAGAGTTGTAAATATTTATGGTGTGTACCATTAAACGAAATATATTTTGTGGTGAGAAAATATTATATTTACTTTTGTCATTAAAGATGTTGAAATGTAATTTTAAATTGATATATATATATATATAGATGTATATATATATATGGTTAGATATTTGTTTATAATATATATATGGTTAGATATTTGTTTATAATATATATATATATATATATATAAGTGACCAAATAGGATATTTTGTTCAACTTTTGGGAGTTCTTGGAGGTCTTGCTATGGGAAAGAAGAGAAAAGGAATTCTGTAGACTGCCCGAACTCTCTCCGCGCGTCCCCCTTTTCAAAGAGGGCGCGGATTTGGGTTCTAACTACTACAGTTCGGACTCCTGCCACGGTTCTGAATCCAATCTCACAAAGTGTAATGTAAGACTAAAAAATCACCAAAGAGTCCAAATCTAGCGAATCATTTTGAAAAATTGATTTTAATCAAAAAGTGCCAAACATGGACTGCTTTGCCAGATTTCAGAGTCGCCACCTAAATATTTTACTTTGGAAAATTTAGGAAACCCTGACTCGTGCCTAAGGCCACGTGTCCGTCATCACCAAAGTTACCTCAGCTTGGGAACTTGGGTATGAGAGGGGAAGGTCCTAAAATGAGCACCCCCGCTTGCCCGATCAAAGATCGGCCTCTACTAACATGATATGTTGTTTTGAACACACATGTGTTCTTATTCCGATTATTAGCTAACTTTGCTATGTGATGCGCACAACAATCAAGTATAGACTAAATCACTCAATTTGGAACAAAACATCTCATGTTTGTTTTTTGAAAATGGTATGAAGTTGCTACCCTCAAGTAGGCTAAAAAGCGGATTTGCCACCCTCAGGTGGGCTTAAAAACATGATTTGCCATAAACAAGTGGGCTTAAAACGCACATTTTGATGAATTGTTCCAATTCAAGCAATGAAGCCTTCATCCACAGGCATTCATGCAGTTAATCACTTAAGAACATAGCCTCATGGAAAGCATGCTATCATGGCAGTCACTTACACACATGCAAGGATGCTAAAGCATAAACACTTACAGTGTACTCCGAGCCAAAACAGAAGCTAATTAGAAATCAATGCATGATCCTAACTATATAGAATGCCTAATGCAACACATGCAAAATGCAACTAAATAGGCTCGGCTATCTAAGATGGCATATGAATGCAACACTTGATAACATGCTTTTAGACACGTATTCAAGTAAGTGTATTGAAATACAATGCAGTTTGAATGATGCGCCGAGCCTGGTGCATGCAAGACAAATGAATGATGCACGCATGCAAAGCATAAGTATGCTGATTGAAATATGCCCTAAACTAACCATCAAAAGCTGATAAGTAAAAAGGAGAAAGACGTGGGGTTGGAAGACATTCACACACACACGCACACTTATTACAACATTTTCCCTCTCGACAAAGAGTTTGAATAAAATGAAAGCTAACTAGCTACGCTAATTAAGCTTACTATTACAAATCAACTAATTAACTAACTATTCTAGCTAATTAATTATTAGAAACGAAATTGAATAACTAGCTAATCTAAGCTAATTAGACTGTTACAAAGCACTAAGCTAAATTAATTACAGTACAGGTAATTAACTACAACTAGCTAATAAAAGCGATAAATGGCCTCGCGGGCGAGGGAGATATGCATGCTCGGTTGCGTCTTCCCAGAAATCCACCGCCTTGCCTCAAGATGCCTCTATTTGCATTCTTTTGAATCTTTGAAAATTACACCGATTTCCAAATTGCTTCTTTCTGATCTCAAGGACACCTTGAGGGCTGAAATTCCTCCTGTTGCTGTAACAGAGCACAGACAAAGGCAAGACAGTGTATTTGCAAGGAAATGTATGCACTTCCACACTCCTTATCATATCTTAAGCTCAAAGGAGTATGACACTTGACTCTCTAGCCAACAACTAAGCATTTTCAATGCATGGTGGCCAAAGGATCAAGCTTGCGCAAAACTCAATGAATGCATACATAAGACTCAAAAGGCCTTCACCCTATCATGCACAATCAAAGGGGACGACGACCAAGAAATGAGATGCATTTTATCACTTCAAGTATGAAACGCCCCTCGTTCCTCGTGTTTGGATTAACGTCTGATCCAAACACAATGCAATGCAACACACATGCTCATTTATCGATGCTAGAGTGGCATGCACAAGGCTCTATCATGTAAGCAATGCATGCATGGCATGTTTAGATGCTAAGGCATTAAAGCAAGTGAGGTACACCACACTAGGACTAGGCAAAACTATGCACGAACAACCAAACCAGCCCAAAACAGAGCTATATCATGGCAAATCGGTGGCAAAAACATGCTCAAACTAAGGCTGAAAGGAGTAGAAAATCATGCTCCTTTGGTAGCTCACAAATAAGGCACAAAGGCACAACTCTCAAAAGCTCTCAAGGAGTGAAAGAAGTGAGAACATGACACATGTATATGCTCTGAAATTACATGTTAAATGATGCCAAAACATGCAACCATCACAAATATAACATGCTAAGGTGCGCAAAACTCAAGACTAGCTAAGGCACTTGCACCATAGCCATATCAAGCAAGCCCTGAAGGACCAAGATCACTCAAAACAGTCCTAAGGAAGGTCAAAACACAGCCAAAAATGTGCTGGAGTAGAGCATACACATGCTAGACCAATAGGCTAAAACACCAAACATGCTAGGCTAGTGAACCAAAATTGCACTACAAGTGCAAGGAGCATGCAAGAGGCAACCAAACTGACCCAAATCAGAGTTATGACATGGGAAATAATGGCTAAAAACATGCTGAAATGGAGCCAATTCAAGGCACAAAGACATGCCACTTTGCAAGGCTACAAGTAGGATTACACTACAAGTACAAGAAGCATGCAAGAGGTGACCAAGGCAACCAAAAACAGAGTTATGGCAGGTCCGAAAATTCACAAAAATGAGCCCAAACAAAGTCACTAAGAAGTAGAAACACATGCTCTTTTGATGGGCCATCAACACATGCAAACAAGAGAAGAGGAGAGGGGACCATCCCCACCCATTTGGGACCTCAAAACCACATTTTCACCACTAAAATTCCTCTAAGTTTCAGTGGTGAGAAGGCCAAAAAGAGATGGTCTCAAAGGCCTTAAAAGATGGCACAAAACAAGGAAAAACAAGCCACCAAAGGGGGTAAACCACCCCTAACTCAAACAAAGCCTTAAACAACCATTTTAAGCACTTCAAAATGGAACTTTTTTCAGTTGAAAGCTAAGCCTAAAATAGCATGCAAAGGTGGCCTAGATTGTGTACAAAAATAAGCTTAAAAGAGGGAGATGCTCACCCTTGAAGAACCACAGCAAAACAGCAACTTCTTCAGCCCAAAACCAGCTTTTAGAACTCAAATATCACTTCCAAGAACCTCAACTCAATGATGGTGGTGTTTGGGTAGGTGTTTGTGTGCAAAAGGGTGAAGAAATAACACTTTAAGGAACAAATATGGAGAGAGAGGGAGAATTCTAGAGAGCGAGGGAGAGTTTTTGCTCTTAAGAAATCTGAACCCTAGAAAGGGAGAGAGAGCTCCCTTCTTATAGAATTCCAAGCCTCAAGCTTGTTGGACAAGCTAGAAGCTTGGTGCAATCCCTCCATACACGTGTATGGAGGATGCAGTCTGTGCCCAACAGTTGGCACAAAAATATCTGCAGAAAGTGCAGAAAGGCCGCCGACCAGTTAAGGTGGTCGACCGACCACCCAACCTAGC